ACCCAAACCCAAACCCAAACCCAAACCCAAACCCAAACCCAAACCCAAACCCAAACCCAAACCCAAACCCAAACCCAAACCCAAACCCAAACCCAAACCCAAACCCAAACCCAAACCCAAACCCAAACCCAAACCCAAACCCAAACCCAAACCCAAACCCAAACCCAAACCCAAACCCAAACCCAAACCCAAACCCAAACCCAAACCCAAACCCAAACCCAAACCCAAACCCAAACCCAAACCCAAACCCAAACCCAAACCCAAACCCAAACCCAAACCCAAACCCAAACCCAAACCCAAACCCAAACCCAAACCCAAACCCAAACCCAAACCCAAACCCAAACCCAAACCCAAACCCAAACCCAAACCCAAACCCAAACCCAAACCCAAACCCAAACCCAAACCCAAACCCAAACCCAAACCCAACCCAAACCCAAACCCAACCCAAACCCAATAGGTCAACTATAACTTTTGAGTTTCTCATCAAAACATATTAAATCCTGATATGAAAATGTTCCATTTGATTAGTAAACATCGAATATCAAATTTATTTTCACTTTCATATTTAAAGATTTCTTCCCTCAACCATCATATGGTCAACTATGATGAAAAGGATGAAATCTTGAAAAAGGACCACTATTGAAACTTTACCAACATGATGTACATGATCTATAATGATGTAGAATTCAATTTCATATCATAAGAACAAGAAATGGAACTATAGGAAGATAATGGTTGACTTTATAAGGTTGACTTTAAGGATTGACAGGTCAGATCAAGTCTATCAAATACATCACTTCAATCAACAATATATACATGAAAATGCTCCATTTGATGAGTAGAGATAGAATATAAAGTTTATTTTAACATACATATTCATGATTTCATCCCTTTCATACCATCTAGTCAACTATGGACATGGATGAATTTCTGGAAAATGACCACTCAATGAAACATCACCATCATGTTCTACATCTCTAATAATATATATGGTTCAGTTTACAGATATTTTGGTGAATATTCCATCATTCAGTAAGGTAAAGGGTGAAATATCAGGGTTTACTTGGTAAGTTAAGGAGGAACTCTTCAAATAAAGAACCACATCCTCAATCTACAAAATACATATCAATCGATTGGAAATCAATAGTACATCTCGAAAATATAATTTATTTTATGTTTTGAAATCTCTCCTTGACCTCTTTTA